CTCCTTCCCCACTAAACCCTAGTAACCTTTGATTTATTTTACTCTCGCCATAGTTTGCCTGGAATAGCATATAATGGAGTTAATGTAGTGTAACTACATTAACTGTCACTTAGTGGTGTGCATCTAAGGTTCCTTCATGTCTTTTCATGGCTTTGATAGCTCATTTCTTTCATGCACTTAAAGTATCTACATCCATTGTCTGGATATACTACAATTTTATTTTCCACTCATCTACCAATGATTTTGGTTACTTCTAAATTTGGGCCATTAAAAACAAATCTGTTACATATACCTATTCAGGTTTTGTGTGGAGGTAAGTTTTTCCATCAGAAGTAAATGAGATTTTCTATGTTCTCACCAACATTTGTTTTTTGGATTTTGGCCACTGTAATAGGTAGTATTAATTACATTTTTTCGCTTTGTTTGGGCTGCTGTAACAGAATATCATAGAGTAAGTAGCTCATAAGTAATAGGAATTTACTTCTTACAGTTCTGGAGGATGGAAGTGGAAGATTTGGGATCTGGTAGCACCCACTTCCTGGGTTATAAATAAGTATTTTTCCAGTGCTGTTCTTTCATAGCAGGAGGAGGCCAGGAAGGTTTGGTTTTCTTTAGTAATAGCACTTGCTTCATCCATGAGGGTTATGTCCTCATTACCTAATCATCTTCCAAAGACTGTCATCTCCTAAGTCCATTACACTGAGGGTTAGGATTACAGCATGAGTTTGGGGAGTATATTGATATTCAGTCTGGAACAATAGCATGGTATAATAGAACATCTCTTCATAATGTTTATAAGCAGTCTGTTCAGGTCTTTTGTCTGTTTTTTTAATGTGGTGGTTTATTTTCTTATTATTGAATATTAAGAATTTCTTTGTATGTGGATGACAAGTCTTTTGCCAGGTGTGTCACTTGCAGATATTTTTCATCAGTGTGAAACTCTTTTTTCCTCTTGACATTGTATGTTTTAAAGTAGCAGATGTTAATTTTAATGAAGACCAGATTATGAATTATTTACTTAATGGATGATGCCTTTGGTGTCATACTAAAATGGTATTGCAGTGTCCAAGGTCAACTAGGCTTTCTGCTTTGTTATTGCCTAGGAGTTTTAAAGTTATGCATTTTTTTTAGGTGTGTGGTTCATTTTGAGTTAATGGTTGTGAATGGTGTGTGTGTGTGTGTGTATAAATTTCATTTTTTAACATGTGGCTGTCTGGTTGTTTTTAAGCATCATTTGTTGACAAGTTGTTTTTGTTCCATTTATTATTACTTTGTTAGAGGTCACTATACTTTTTTGAGAATCTGTTTCTAAGCTCCATTGACCTGTTTGTATATTTATTAGTCAATACCACACGGTGAAGATTACTGCTGCTATATGTAGTAAGTCTTGAAGTTGAATATTGTCAGTTCTATAGCTTTGTTCTATTTCAATGTTGACATACTTTCTTAGGTCTTTTGCCTTCTCATATAAACTTGATCAGTTTGTTGACACCCACACTATTACTCACTGGAATTTTGATTGGAATTACACTGAATCTGTAGAGCAATTTGAGAAGAACTGACAGCTAGATATTTTGAAACTTGTTATCAATGAACGCAGAGTTCTTTACATGTATATAGTTATTTGTAGTTTCATGAAAAGTTTCCACCCCCCCCCCCAACTGCTACATAATGCTGTAAAATTGGTGAAGGTGGTAGTGGGTTTGTTGAAGTGTTGCCAGTATAACATACTAGTTTAAACTCTAAACTTTATAGCTATAAAGTCAAGTGCTAAGTGCATATTTAAATAAAATCTTTGTACCGATAATTAGTTTTTCATTTCAGTTACCAACTACATACATAGGATTATTCATCTGAACAGTTTGACAGATTAAATGGGATGCTCCATATTACATCAGAGTTAACATAGTCCTGTAACATAAGTCTTCTTGAATTTAGTTCAGTTTATTTTAGGCTGAGGCATTTTGCTGTAGGGATAAAGACTGTATAGAATTTTGTATAAATTTTTGCATTTGACTTTTAGTATAAAGACAGAAAGTTAGGTGAATAAAGAACATTGTGTTTATGGAAGTATAAAATAAAGCTTTTGAAGTTCTTAAAGGAAATCACTCCATTATTGGGAGTTACTTGCAGTAACAGTAATTATGAAGTAATGTTCAAATGATGAGAGAATGGATTTTGTTAGGAATAATATTCCTCATGCTGCTAATATTTAAAATTATGTCATTTATTCACCCATAAAAGGTGCTAGTAATGGAAGATTACAGGTACTAGTTTGTTACTCTACAATATAAATTTTCTATCAGCTTTTTACTTTAGTTATCTGTCATAGATGACTTAATAGTTCATGAGATAAATGAATTATTTTAAATTAGGAAATGAATATTTGCAGGGAAAATCAATAAAGGTACAAAAGCCATTGAGGAACAGTATAGGCTAATTTATAAACTGTCCAAATTCTGTGTGTCATTCTGTCGCTGTGGGGTATGTATGGAAGGTTATTTAACTTTCTGAGATTTGGTTTTCTCGTGTAAATATAGAGTTATAAAAATAGTTCCCGCTTCATAGATTTATAAGAATTAAAACAGCTACAGGCTTTGAATAATGCCTGACTTGATAATAAGGTTGCAGTAAACCTTAGCTAATGTTATTAATATGAATGTGACAGTTTAGAAACATTTTATTAGTAAAATCTGATACTATATTATCATAATAACCTTGAATCACTAAGGAGAAAATTAACCTGGAAAAGAAAATCCTGTAAAGTCAAGTTTTAAACTCTTTCCCTGTTTTCACTTTTACAAAATCAGTACTCACCTTTGTATGTTACCAGCTACAGTGTAAGTTCACTTAGGGGATATACTTGGTTCTCAGATGATGACAGAATAAATGTGGTATTACTATCATCAGTTCCAATTGCTGTGTATATTTAAAACTTATAAAATGGTATTTATTTTCAAAGGTAGCTTTTCTTGAGTTCAGGTCAGAATAAATAGTAAGATTTTATTGTGCTTATATATCTACCTTAATAGAGATTTGAAGTAGCCTTTAAACATTTGATTAGAACCATCCGATTTATGTGAACTGTTTCAGAGCATACAGTTGACTATTGATAGTAGCATTTAGCTGATTTTTCAGTTCACAGTTTTATAGAATTAATAAGATGTAGATAAATCATGTTAGTTACATCTGAATGTCTTACTGTAGTATGATTGATTCTTATTGCTGGTTTGCACGTCTGTTGAGTCACATGTTCAGTTCATCTCTAAACGGATAGTAACTAAAAGAAGAAAAGCTATATACATATGTTTTAAATAGTATTGGATATGCCTTTCAAGCAAGTAAGAATTACACACAGATTTTAGTTGAATTCTCTCTTCTTTGTATCTTCCAAATAAAAGATGCTGTTGAGCACAGTACACCGTCCACAGGACTCAGAAACGCCAGCCCTAGCCCCCAGACCTTGACTTGTAATGACATTTCCACTAAAAGAAACCAGGGTTGAGAGCTTGGAAAACCTTGTTAGGGGAGAAAGTAAGAAGTGTGCAAAAAAGAAAAAAAGTTACTGCCGCTTCACAAGAATATCTAGGGACTATTTTGAAGAGGCTTCCGCTGACCCAATAGGGATTATTTGAGCATCAAAATAATGAAAGGTAGTAGTGAAGTATAAACCTTTGGGGGGAAAGTAGAAATCCATGAGACCTCATCAGTAATATACATAAAAGAAGAGTATTCATCAGATATATAGTAAATGTGGAAGGAGTTGGGAAATCATGATTTTACCACTATTGTAATAAAGTTTAGTTTAACCAAGAATCACATGAGTGTTAAATCTGGTGGGTGAAATTTTGAAGAGTAGGATATTTGCATTTTTTTTAAGCTTTATTTATTTGTGCATTCAGAATTGGGGTACAGGCTAGAGGTGCATGGGTGGTGAGAGGATTCACCAGAGATAGAGTGGGGAGCAGAACAGACCAACCGAAGAAGTACACTGCTGAGGGAAGCAGCAGGCGGGTCAGGAGAGGTCTGCCATGCCATGTGTGGTCACCTCCTGGGTGGGGATCTAACTTCTGCGGAAATGGCTTTAGCTTCTTAGTGCTGTGCTTTAACCCACTGCACCACCAGAGAGGGCCTGATATTTCCATGTTTTTAAGGTAAGCGTTGAAAGTTTGATTCTTGGTTGTATGTAGGAAAGATAGTAATAACTAAGCAGTAGGAAAATTGGGTAGCCCTTTGAGTAATGAGAGTTTACATCACCAATTAGGGACAGGTGAGCCATGCCCTGAGTAGAACACAGCATAATTTATGTGCTTTTCTGACCAAGAAAGCAGTACCAATATCTAACAATGAGGAAACACCTGTGAAGTTCACAATATAAGCATTACGTATTTTAAAAGAAGAGATACAGTTTTCCAAAATATTAATGCAAAAGTCAAAGAAATGCTGGAAAGTCATGCTATTATAGGACATTCTTTAATCACAGGACCTAGATGATAGTATTATTTATTTTTATCATGTATCTGGGGGAAAATTAAAAATTTTAAAGGGCATTATTGGGTCAGTGGTACAGATTGTAGGCTAGAGTATTTTATTGGCAGTATATTTACTAAAATTGTAGCTATATTGTGATTACTACACTGGAGGTTATTTTAGAAATGTATGCTGAAGGACCATAACATACTCTAATTACTCTTACCTGCCACAGAACAAAGCACTATGTGTGTATAAAGAAGAGAGAGTGGTGATAAGGTAAATGGAGCAAAATGTTGACATAAGGAGATTTGGGATGAAATTATTTTTGATGTTTTCCTGTAAAAATTGAGATTGAGATAACCCCAGGTAATTTTATGCAAACATGCATGCACACTGTAGGACTGATTTCTTCTATACTTGTCTGATTGTCCTAAGTTGCAAGTTTATCTCTAACATTTCTTTGGTTTATGAGGCCATCGTGCATTGCTTACAGGTACACATACTGATTTTTATTTTCTTTTAAATAGTGCTGGGCCTAAAGGAGATAACATTTATGAATGGAGGTCGACTATACTTGGTCCACCAGGTTCTGTATATGAAGGTGGTGTGTTTTTTCTGGATATCACATTTTCATCTGATTATCCATTTAAGCCACCAAAGGTAAGAAAGAGCCTAGAAGTGCATTTTTTACTATTTACCTATCTCTGACACAAGTTTATTCTGGAGGTAAAATGTATTGATAAGGTGATTTTTATTGGTTTTCCTGACATTTCAAAGATATGAAAGTGGCCATGTAACTAGGAATTTTAAAACTATTGAGATGATTCCAGTTTCTACAAATAACATTGTAGTAAGAAGGTTTGTTAAATGTAAGTAGAAGTATGCTACTTTTACATTAAGAAAACTTAGATGTATGAGAGAAAATATCCTATAAACTTCCCTTTGGAATCAATAATTGAGATAAAAATGAAATCTGACAGTTTAAAAATAAAGGTAAATAACTTTAATTTTATGCTAAATACATAAAAATGAACAAAACTATACTAAAGTAGAAGGAAACTAACATTTAATAAACTTATTTTGTACCCTTTGTAGGTAGTAATGGGAATGGAGGGTAGGTAGCCAAGCATCTTTATCATCTGAATATGAATTAAATAAATAACAAGCAGGGATTGAGGTGTGTCTTAGAATGACTGGCAATTGTTTTTGCAGTTTAAATATGACAATTATTTGAATAGCTTCCTCCTCTGACTTCTCATTTTACAGTAGTCAAGCAAACGGGTATAATCTACCATAATTATGTTCTAATTACAGAGTTCTGACATATCAAGGAAAAGTATTATGCAGGTGAAGTGGTGAAATACAGTACCTTTTAGTATACTTCCTTGTACTATTTAAATTTAATATAGTGATTTAATGTCTGCTCATGTGCATTTATATAGAAAGGGTTTCTTTTAAAAAGACAAGATCCTTTCTCTATTATATAATAATTTAGAAAGAGTTCCACCTAGTGGTGTTTACCTCAAATTGCAGATACCAGGATTTCTGACCTTGGAGGTATTTGCCTTCAACTACAGTTACCAGGTTTTTTTTGTTTGTTTGTTTTGTATTTCAGTGTTAGGTGACAGTTTACATTATTGTATATTATTTAGTTGTATAAGCAGTATTATACTGAGTGCTTTATTGGATGGTCTCATCAGAATCTTAAAACTATAAGAATCTAATCTAATGATCTTTGATGATTTTACTTAATTGTTTCCAACTATGTGCAATCTATTTTTTTGATCAAAAAAGGGTAAGCTGATTGTATTCACATTAAAAATGACATGTTAAGTGCTACTGTATAAGTTTGCTATATTACAGAAAACAAAATCTTAGCAAAGTCATTCATGACTGGATTATAAATAATGATATTTCTCCATGCATTGTTTTACATTTTGGTAATTGGTTTTTATGTGGTTACAAATTAGCAGGAAAAAAAATGTTTACAAGATTTAAATCTTAAAAATTACTTGTATGTAAGGGGGAATTTGTTAAGGAAAATAATTTTACATTTTTCTTAGCACCTTTTAGTGGAAATTATTAACATAAAGGCTTTAAATGAGTTTTACATATGACTTATCATAAGTTTGGTCAGTGGAATGAGTTAGCATGTTAATTTTTTTTGTTGAAATCGAAAGTTAAAAATTTTAACCCTTTCTCTTGAGTCATTATTTTTGCTTGAGATTTTAAACTCTGAAGTATTCAGTAGCCCTGTAGTTATACAAGTGGAAAAAGAAATGATTTCTGCAGTAATGTTGTGTTAGATGTAATTCTTTAGAGCACTGATTTTCTTTGAAGTCTAGATAAGTTATTGAACTTGAGTTAAAATTTGTCTTCTATATTGAAAGTATTAATTCTATTATATTTGTAAACCACTCATTGAGTAGTTAGCTGTCAATGATCTGAATATTCAAAGCAGAACTGCCTGTTAGAAATATAATGCATTTGTAATTTTAAATGTTCTACAAGCTACATAAAAAAGTAGAAAGAAAAAGTGACATTTTAAAATAATGTATTTAATTTAACCCAATACATTTAATACACTGTCATTTCAATATGTAATCAGTGTTCAAGTATTATTATTGAGATTTTTACATTTTCTTTTTGGTAGTTAGCCTTTGAAATCTGGTATGTATTTTACATTTTTAGCCCATCTGAGTACTACTAGCCACATTTTCAGAGCTCTCTACTCACTTCTAACTAGAATATATTCCACTGGACGGAGCAATTTTAGAGGCATATAGTTTTTTACCCTCCCCTATTAGACTGCTCGATTTATTTAAAAGAAGTACATTTTTGCAGACTTTTAATATATGAACTTCCTAGACTCCACTTGGAAGATCACAGTATTTGGTTCCAAGAGATCAGAACATTTTTTTCCCCCTCAGCAACTACAAATTGAGTTAACTACCCAATTAGTATCTATAATTGTTTTGAAACTTGGCCAATGTTTGTTCCGATTATTTGCCTTCTTTTTTCTTGCATCTCAAGGATATATTAGATTCCTTTTTTGGTAGCTTAAAACTTTAAAAAACATACAGTATTTCCATATTCGTCCTTCCCTACTCCAACTACTCAGATTTTTTTATTTTTTTATTTTACTGTCTTAGTATAGCAAAGTAGTGAGCCACTTGTGAAAATGGAAGACTGAAAAAGAAAGGCAATATTTTTACCAGTGATTTTTCTTTACTGTGTAAACATTTTATTTTACCAGATTCTCTCATTTTTGGCTTCAAACATTACTGTCCTACTCCTTTAAAACTTAGCGTATGTGTGTGTGTATATGTTGCATGCATGTGTATATGGTTGTATATGCAGGTACCCTTGGACACACATGCATACATAGAAGTAACTGTACCATTCTGTTAAACTAATCCAAAGCAATCACCACATGTGGTTTAAAGTCAATATAGTTCTTAGCTATAATGGTAAAACAGAAAAATAACCTTTCAATCTAAGCAGAACTACTTAATTTTGTTACTTAAATGAGTTTTTAGTTCTTCAATTAAATTACTTGCTATATATACCATAATCTTCATTTTTGCTGGTGACAGTTTTAATTGTTAAATTAGTGTTCATTTTCTTCTGTTTTTAATATGACTGCTCTTAGGTTACTTTCCGTACCAGAATCTATCACTGCAACATCAATAGTCAGGGAGTCATCTGTCTGGATATCCTTAAAGACAACTGGAGTCCCGCTTTGACTATTTCAAAGGTTTTGCTGTCCATTTGCTCTCTTTTGACAGACTGCAACCCTGGTAAGTAAATCTTTGTCAGTACACTATAAGGCTAACCCAGTACATCTTTCTGGTTAAATTTGAACATGAATTGATAAGTAAGTGTAATGGACAGATAAGCATAAAAAATATCTATATTTTTTGAAATTATCCATGCCATTTCAATTAGGGTAGAGTCAAAGTTCCATAAAAACTTCCTATAGTTCATTGATGGCATGCAACCCTGTAATTCCTGTCTTCTTATCATTGATGGACTTGTTTCTAAACTACATTATCTGTACAAACCACTTTGGACAGTAATAAAGCAGTCTCTTAATACCAGTTTCTCTTTTTCTTTCTCCTTCCCTGCTGCCATGTTCTTTAAAGCTGTAACTTAATAATAAAGGACTTCTTGCTCTTCTTTCCTTATTGGGTTATAGTTATTTGTGTTAGATATAATGATAGATATTAAAATAATAGCTGGTGAGGGAATTGAACTAGATTATGATTAGATAACGGAGGTAAGTCCCTAGTGCATAATTTATAACATTTTTAAGAAACGCAGCACTGTCTTACCTGATCTTATTATGGGTAGCTTACTTGATAAAGTGATGTTTAGACCTAGGTTTAGACCAACCCTACTATGAGGTCAGTGGTAATTCTTTAAAGAAGTTAACTTTAAAAAATATTTGATAAATCATTAAAAACTGCTGGTTTTATCTCAGGCTGAGCAGTTACACACATGCCAAAGTCAGCAGGTACAATAATAATGTAGGTTGATGAATAGACAGGCATATAGGCCTGCCATATGTATAGAAGGCTTTTTATAGAAGAATATTCATTGTACTATTATTTATTAAAACCAAATATTGGAGACAACCAGAGTACCCACTAATTGCGGTTATAGCTATTAAAAAAGGGTAAGGTCGCTCTAAATGAACTAATAGGGAAAGGCCTTTAGTGTAGTAAGTAGAAAAGCAAGGCACTGAAAAAATAAGTATGTGTAAAAATTTTCAATGTTTGTGAATGTGCTTAATGTCTGGTAATAATCCACTGCCAGAGAAAGAAATTTCTGAGTAGTTGGAGTAGGGAAGGAAGAGAACTTTACCTTTCACCGGCTATAATTTGGGATTCTTCTTCAGTATCATAACATGCGTTATCTGTGTTATCTATGTTGCCTTTTTTAAAAACTTCAAAATAAAAGTTTTTATTTCAGATTTAATTTCTATCTTAGAATTATATTTAAAACAAATAGCAAGTGTTCAAATAGAGGTTAGGATGATAATTTGAATCATGAATTTCACAGAATGTAGAAAGCCCCTTTCCCAGTTGTACTGTATTATAAGATATGGGCTTACTTAAAAATTCTTAAATATTCATTAGAAATATTATCACCTAATACACTTTATGTTTTGAATAAAATAACCAAGTTAAAAAAATAGTTTGGCAAGTATCTTTTTTTATAATTGTGCTAATTATATATTTTTTACATTATTTTGTGCCTTTTAAACGGCATATATCTTTTGTAAAATAAAATTTTATCAATTCAACTTTTTTTTAAATGGGCCTTTCTAATTTGAGTATTAAAATGATTGCTACTGTAGACATTTCTTTTGAAAATATAGTCATATATAAAGATGCTATTGAAAAATCAGTATTTCAGTTTAATAGAATGTTATAATTGTACCTTTAAGACACCATATAATATATTTTAATGTTCTTCCACTTTTTCAGCGGATCCTCTGGTTGGAAGCATAGCCACTCAGTATTTGACCAACAGAGCAGAACATGACAGGATAGCCAGACAGTGGACCAAGAGATACGCAACATAATTCAGATAATTTGTATGCAGTGTGAAGGAGCAGGAGGCATCTTCTCACTGTGCTGCAAATCTTTATAGCCTTTACAATACGGACTTCTGTGTATATGTTATACTGATTCTACTCTCTGCTTTTATCCTTTGGAGACTGGGAGATTCCCCAAAAAGGTAAATGCTATCAAGAGTAGAACTTTGTAGCTGTAGATTAGTTATGTTCAAAACGCCTACTTGCAAGTCTTGCTTCTTTGGGATATCAAAATGTATTTTGTGATGTACTAAGGATACTGGTCCTGAAGTCTACCAAATATTATAGTGCATTTTAGCCTAATTCATTATCTGTATGAAGTTATAAAAGTAGCCGTAGATGATTAGGAATTACGTCATTTGTATTAAACCCAGATCTACTTCTGAGTATGTGGTTCATGCTGTTGTGAAAAATGTTTTACCTTTTACCTTTGTCAGTTTGTAATGAGAGGATTTCCTTTTACCCTTTGTAGCTCAGAGAGCACCTGATGTATCATCTCAAACACAATAAACATGCTCCTGAAGGCATAGTTTCCTGTCGTAATATTTTAAGTCAATCTTGTTAGAAGGTGTGTCTGAGATGATTGTTGATGAAATAAAAATGTGACCATGAAGATTGACTACTAAGGACTAGTACAAATGAATGAATTATTAAATTGAAAACATTTCAAATATAATTAAATGTGTAGATTTTTTTCCTTTAAGTAAGACTTAATAAGAGAATGAATATAAGCTTAAATATGCAAAATTGAATTTTAAATTATTGGTCTCAAAAACACATAAAGCTTTACTTTGATAGCATGATATTAAGCTAACAACAGTATAAAATCCTTGCTCACTCAGGAGTCTGGCAATGTCTTATGGAACACTTTTTTTCCCCCCCAAATTGGTGATTCTGTCCAGCATTGGACAACATTGTCAGTAACTTACCTGGTGGCTATTCTTTGTCTTTTGGTGCGCTTGCGTTTTTTTTGTTTTTTTTTGTTTTGTTTTGTTTTTCAATCCAGGTCTTGAATTTCCATGGTGTACATTACCATTTTTAATACGGTACCGAAGCCAGCAGATAAAACCAGAGTCAGAATACAGAGCTGAATACAGAAACCCCTGTCTACCCTGAAGGTAGACTAAAACTCTGGTTTAGTGTACAGATGTTGTTATTATTTCTCAGTGGAAAGAGTAACACATTTTACATGTTTTGCAGGTTAAATTCCTTCTTTCTAATTACAATTATTAAATAATAAATTTCTAACAGGAGTTAGAATTACTTTGTGATATTCAGATTTGGTAAACAGATTAAATTGTTATTTGTGAGTTGAATAATTATTGAGGTAACTCTCGAGTCATGTAGGCATGGTTGTGGAATACGGGGCAAATGTCTTCTCCAGTTGTAAGTATGGAAATGAAGTATCATCTTAAAATTTGTAGAATAGAATTAATATCACATCTATTGCTTCAAGATAACAAAGAAAAATATGTATACTTGCAAATTATATCACAAATAGTAGTGGACTCCTACTGAGTCTTTGTCAGTAGAAGTCTTGAATCAGGGTAAAACTAAAATTACATTCTGTAGATCTATTTTCCATTTAAACTCCTCTCCCTAAAATCTTCCCATATTACACCAATAAGGTAGTATCTTGAGGAATTCAGGGTTAGGCCTTTGATAAACAGAGCCTTAACTATTTTAAGCACTAACTTACAATTTAAGGAATTCAAGTGATTGCGATCAGAATGGCAGCCCCTTACATAATCTATACGGATTTTTATGTAGGTCATCTATACAAAGTAGTTTTTCTGCACTTCCAACATTATTTTCTACATCCTAGAATAATAAACGTTTTCTCTTGGTGCTAGAAAAGCTTTCATCATGCTGAATATTAGGATGTGTGGGGATGCTACAGCTCTCTAAATACTACCTTTGTGGCCTTGAATATAAGACACCTTCAGAACTTTGAGTTTCAGTTTATTCATCAGCAAAAGGGTTGAATTTGATTACTTCCATATTACCAAACTCAGTAATTTTAATTTTGCAAAATTCACTCTTGTTCTTCTTTCTCTTTCAGGGAACATGGTACAATTTCAAATGGACTGAAAAATAGCAATTATAATTTCCTATTACTAGGTATCCTTAAATTCTGAGTTTTAAAAAACACTCATTCTGTTTCTAAAAAGTTAGTGTTTCCAGTTACCTAGGTTTCATCTATGTATACTTTAAATATGGATCTTTTCCCTCCATGAATCTGCTCTAGATGTAAGTTGTGAGATTCAAAGCCCTAACTTTTTCTTACCTATTAAGAGCAAATTTTAGAAGTCCAAATGTAATTTGGTAAGTGTTCAAGAGTGGCCGTGGTACTGTGCAAACAAATGAATCCATAATATTGTAATGATAACCATGTGTCCACAAATGAGCTCTGCAGTGCACCATTATATATGCCAGGCACTGTTTAATCCTTATGTGCCTTATTTCATGTAATAACCCCTAAAGAGCTATAGGAGAGGAAATACCCTGTTGATCCTCAGTTGACAGATTGAAACTGATAAATAGATGGTAAATAACTTGCCCCAGATCACACAGCCTATGTGGTATGAAGATACAAAGCCTATTTCATACAGTAGGCCGAGCTTCTGTTCCTAATATCATAAATTAATATTGACTATGTAGGTATATCTAAAAGTGTATTTTGAATAGGTTAGTTGGTAACTTCTGAAAAGTTACAACTTTACATTTTAGTAAATCTTTAAATCTGTATTTAAAAGTTGGAATGGAACTTTCCAAAAAAAAAGACTTATTTTCCATGAATGTTCATCTTCTTCCTTCAACAGTTAACATAGGAGTACTTTATACATCACTGATTTTCTGTTCTTAAAATGAAAATGAGGTAAATGAATTTATTTAAAATTTGTTTACCCACAACTCACATAACTACCACAGGAAATATATATTGATAAATATTTCAAGCATTAAATTGACTACTTTTCCAACAAAATGAAATGTAAACATTGCCTTTTTTTTTTTTAAGTATGGAAAGTAATCACAGGGATAAAATTATTTTGCGTTTGCAGTTTGATTGACTCATGTATATACTCTAATAAAACTTTGAGGTATTGTGTATTTGGGATCAGCCCACTAACTTGTCAAAATATATTCTTACAAGAATGACTGTACTGTAAAGTTTTACTCAATTTTAGTGTATGATTTCAGATACTAACTTAAGTTGTAGTCATGTTAATACATTACCATAATTTTAATTGATATTTATATTGTAGTCTTTGAACAGAATTGTAGCATGATATCAAACATTATTTTTTATAAAACCACTGAAATTATTTTCAGAGTCTGAGATAATAATTTTACTATCATTACATTGTCCATTTATATTTTAGTTAATGTTTCTTATTTTAGAGAAATAGAATATATAAATAAATGCATTTGTTTCATGGATTTTATACTAGGATTTTTCAAGCAATACCCAAATAAAATATAATTTATGCTTACATTTTGGTAGATATGCGTAATTTGAAACAGTAATTTTTTTGTGACTATTTTATCAACTTTTTGGTAAATTTCTTAAATGATTTAAATGTGCACCTCTCCATTGTAATGGGAGATAGTTCCCATTGATAGTCCACTCAAAATGGTAATAAAATGAATTCCTGGGGGTGGTCTTTAAACTACATTGCCAAAACTGTGGTGGATAGTGTAAATGCTTTGTCAGAGTCAGCCTTGTTAATTGAAATGTGAAGTGAAAGATTAAGGTAGATGTGTATATCCTCACTTTGCCTCTTTCCATGAGACCCATAAGCACTTCTTTGAAGTAAATGTCCTAGATTTCCAGCAGCACATTTATGCTTCCAGTTTCTTGTGGTTCCACTAAATCATGTGACTAGAACCCCAGGGTTATTTTTTAAATGACAGTATTCTATAAGGCCAATATTAAGAAAAAGTTTTGAAAAAGAACAAAAGGGAGGGGGCGGGCAATTGATTACCTAGATGGGGCATATCTAGACAGTGGGAACATTCTTTAGTATAGTACCTGTTATTATGTATAGGGAAAAAGTGATTTGATATGATTAAAGGTAGCAGATCTTGGACTTAGCCCAATGTGGTTAGAAATAACCGTGGATTAGCCAAAGGAATTAATCTAACAAAATTAGATATCAGTGATGTATATTTAGAGTTATTTAACTTTACCATAAATCTTCTATTTCCATAGGTTACTAGGTAATAGTAAGGTTAAATTTAGCCAGTCATTCAAGTTTATCCAACATAAAGTATTAAAAACACTTTTGGCTCCAAATTTACAATCTCTAAATTTTATATAAAGTCTAATCCTATGATGAAACTTTTCCATTAAATTTTTGTGTCCTTTTTTAGTTTGTCTCATCTGCAAAACTTAAGAAATGCTGTTTCTTCAGGCACCTGTTTCCAAGTGCCAATAGCAGTGTGCCCTCTTTGGCACAAACCTTTTTAGAATAATACTATTTTAGTACTTTTAGTACTTTTTCTTATTTTCTTCTTTCATGGAATAGAGTGGTGGTTTTACTGTATAACTCTTTAACTTGCAAGCTTATTCTACAAATTTTCATTAAGTGCTTGCTAATTGAAAGATTCTTTGAGGTAGCATGGTGCATATAGAGGTGAATATATTGTCACATCCTTAAAAGAGCGCCTTTTCCTGTCTAGGTAGAATTTCCCCTCTTTTTAGCAAGGGAGAATGTTATCTTTACTCATATATATATATTTTCTTTTGAGTGAGAAATTGAGCAGCTGTCCTTGCTGATTAAGCTGTGAAAATATTGTTAGAATAATTTGGTAAGTTTACTCAAGCTACATGGTATGAAACATACTAACACTATTTGATGTTTTTTAAATGATTTTTCTTTCAAACTACCCAATGTCTCTGGCATATTTTTTGGGTATTTTACTACATTCAGTTTAATACCTCATACATATTTCTGACTAGTAAGCTTTCGGAAAGATAATAGTAACTATATTCCTGTCTCTGCGTTGCAGCTCAGCATCTAATGTGATAGAGATATCTGCTGGGTGAATCAATAATGTATCGTGGGTATAAGTCTTCTCTGTAAATGACCCCAAGAGCCTGTGAAACATGTCAGTCATACCTTACCTATTTCCTCCTCATTGCTATGTGGTAGGTGCTATATATATTCCTTTTAACTTGAAATATGATAAGTAGCAGGGAGTTACTTCCATAATCCACTTAATGTCTTAACTGTAAGATGCAAACTGAAATAGTTCTATAATTTTGAAAGTCCTTAAAATACACTATCACTTTTTATCTTACAGAAGTTACATAATTTCCCTTTATCATTATTTTATTCTTTAATTACTGTACTTTTACTGGTAAAAATAAGTATTAGAGATGTAATAATAATGTACAACATAAATGGCTATAGTTAACACTGTTGTGTGATTTATATTTCAAAGTTAAAAGTAAATCCTGGCCCTCCCTGGTGGTGCAGCAGGTTAAAGCACTGCACTAAGAAGCTTAAGCCACTTCCGCATGAG